TTAATTTTAATTTTGGCTAAAGTTTTAAACCTCGCTCATATACTTCAAATAAATAATTTTAACTTTGCGATTTAGTTTATATAATTCTTATAACTATTAGACAATATCCCTTTTTATTTTTATTGTTTATTTACCTTTCTGTAAACATATATAAGTTACAGTATTTATAATAATCTCTTTGAAAACATTTAATAATGTTCGAATGTTTCATTATATGGTATCGAAAGTTTCAGCAATTTGCTTTAAGGCACGATGCCATACACCATTGTTTTTTTTTTCATTTTGAGCTCTTTTATTTAGCACATTCATTTTGTAAGTTATTATTAAATTGTTTTACACGATATTTATCAGTTTTAAGTTAGGTTCAATAGTTTTCTTATAGCCTCTATAAAAGCTTACATTTGAGCGGGATAAATGGACAACTAAATATTTGCACTGGCAAAGGTGTAAACGATAATGAAATAGTAAATAAAAAAATTATTTAAGTTAAAAAAGCAATTTTTTAAGATATAAATTGAATTAATGATTTTATGATTTTGCTGATGAATACCTCATAACGGTTATTTAAAGTGAGATGCGTTCATGAAATTTATATGTCGCATTGGTTGAATAATATAGTTTTATTATTGCCCAATTAAAACAAATAACAAATTTTAGAAAAATAGTAAAAATACGAGTTTCTATTATAATGAATTAACTGGGAATTTTACAGAACAAATTTTGGTTGTTGGTTGTTTGATACCTATTATGTGTTATTGTAGTATAGTTTGTTTGGTTTAGACAGTTTAGTTATTAAAAATCAAATCGGACTTTTGTGTCTCTCCCTACCCTATAAAAAGTATAACAGTAATCGCGTTTTGAAGTTTATCTGCGAATTTCCTTCGGCAATAAATTTGATAGCTGAAAACATTGAAAGAAGTCGCTTGCAGCTGCAAATCTAATAAAATTTTATATGTAATATAATCCAAAGCTTCCAAAGCCAGTGTCGTTGCAATTCGCTTGCAAATCCAATCACTGCATGAGTTCACTTGCTCGTATGGTTCATGAACTACGACTTCTCTGAATAGAGGTGAAGTTCTATTTGCGCATTTCGAGCTTCTACAAGAATTTCAACTATTTGATTCAATGTTCGTATGTACTTAAGAAAATTGGTAAACTAATTTCAATTCAGATCATGTTCATTATATATTTATAGACAAAAAAAAATGGGAACAATTTTAATTGCTGTATATTACTTTTATTGTTCAGTTCTGATGACTGTGCAGAAAATTATGTGATACTTTAAAGTATTAGCCTAAGGTACTAAATGTATTCTGCCCTTTACTTGTACATAACCCGGAATAGCTTGTGTAACCAATTTATTACAATATTTAATATAACGTGTCAATTAATGAGCTCAACTCTTGCAAGCACTTTAAACAGAATATTTTTCTAATATTTTTTATGAGCGTTGAATTTTATTTCGTTAGAACCGGGGTAAAATTTTATATTAAGTCAAAATGCCACTCACATCAATTTATATATATTTCCATATACTCATAGCATTCTAAATATTTTTGAATTTGAGAAAATGTTTTGTTTTCCTTATTAAGTTGCAATATAAATTGCCAATGTTCAGAAATTTATATGTATGACAAGTATACTCGTAAATACACAAAATTCTACCACTTCTCTATGACCAGTATATCAATCAACCACAGTTAACTGGTTAACTAACACTAATAACTTAAAAAAAATAATGAAAATAAGACTAAATATCCTGTTTTTTTCCCCGAAAATAGCTAAAATAATTATGAAGAAAAACTATGGAATACTGAAAGGCTATGTGGCAATGCATTAGTAACTACAAATAAATATAGTATTTACAATTTCTGAGAAGCTTATGTTGATAATGACAAAAAATTACACTAAATAATGTCAATTATCAATTATTAAGCATTAAATGCTTTTGGTTATTATACAAATGTGATACAAAAATTCTATCTTTTTCAAGTGTTTTGTCGATCGATATTTAGAATTCAATCAAAATCACGTATTAGAACATCATAAGAAAAGTATATTTTCTGGAGATTCTATTGTATTTTTAGAGCATTTGTAAAGTTCAATCCCATTTCGTAATTTTTTACTTAGAATTTTTATGTTCGATGTGGAATTATAGTTTTTTGCAACTCTAATATATAGTATATTATAGTACTATAGTATATATTAGGTGTCCCATTAGTAATATATTAGGTATCACAGATCTTGATGTTAAGATAGTGCTGACCTTAACTGTTCTGAAAAAAATAGAAAAAAAACTCACGTTGTTGTGAGCATGTTGAGTTGAAATTATGAGCTTTTAAGTGCAACCCAGAGCTTTAGTAAAATAATGAACGTTTTTTGGTTATTTTACTAATTTTGTTCACTTTGGTACCATAACCGTGAATAACATTTCTAGGAACGCAATCAAAAATAATAACATAATATCCCCAAGCTTTTAAGATATACGACTTTTTGTTGAACTATGATTTTAAATTTTTTAAAAATGTTGTCAAGTGTGTGGACAAAAGTTGGCGTATTTATTCAGTATTGTAAAATGGTAAAATATTTGATAATACTTGATAAATAAAAACCTGAAAATGTCATGATTTTTAACTTAATTGGTCAAACTTCTAAAGAATTGTAAATGTGTTATAATTAAATATCTATTTCAAATTATATCAATATTTGCTGTTGATCTTTAAAAATTTATGTTAAGGCCAATTATTAAATTAAATCAATTCGAATGTTAATTAAAGTGACCATACGTCCCGGTTTGGCCGAAACAGTCCCGAATTTCCACCTTGTGTTCCGGGTTTTTCGAAAAGCAATATGTGTCCCTGATTTAGATCTTTTGTCACGGATTGTCCCGCTTATTTAAAAACTAATATGTAAACTAACAAAAATTATAAAAATAGACGATCAATTGTTAATTTCTTTAAATTAATTGTGAAGAAAATTGAGTGAAGTTTCATACAAGGCGCGAGAAAACAGAGATAAACATATATAAAAGAGTATTACATATAATTGAATAATAAAGTTCTTTCTAGTAGTCCGCAATTTCAATTAAAAAAATATTCATATAAAAAGCTGAGTATTTAGTGTATCCTTAAGTAGCATTTGGTTTTTTAAAGCAACCTCTTTCCCCTCACCTGTCCCGGAGTCCCGCATAACTAAAAATTGTCGTCTGGGTTTTGACCTAAAAATATGGTTACTTTAAGCTTAATATATTATATATTAATATAGTTGTATTTTGTATTATAAAAAATCCGGTTTCTAAATTAATAAAACTTTCCTCGACAATTTTAATGAATCAATTACCATTCCTGAACTTTGCATAAAATCGTTTTCCAATTTTTTATCAGATTAAACTTTATTGATTAATTCTCACAATGTGAGCGGTTCGTAGGGATTTATATTGGAATAGCTAATCGCCTTGCGGTTTAAATTGATCAATTACCATTCGGCCTGACGTGAATATTCCAACGTGTCCGCATCGCACACGTTGTCGCACACGCGTTATTTGTAAATCGATGCGCCGCGCCGCATCCTTCGACCGGGGTTAGCCACTTTGTGCTAACTAATTATTATATATGTGTATCTTAAAACTTTACATTGATTAATTGTGTGGTAAAACATAAGAACACAGGTTGGCGAAAAATTAAATCATTTTGTTTACTTTGATTGAAAAGATTAGGATCATAAGAAAGATATTAAGAAAACTGGTTTTGGAATTGATTGGATGTTCACAATGACAATTACGGAATACATTTTTGGTAAATCTTGATACATATTAATATATATCTTATATATATATATATATATATAATATACATATATATATCAATCTCAATATATAGATCAATCTTAATATACAGGTGTCCCAAAACTAAACGTCTAGCTGAGACAAGGTGACAGTATTGATCATGAACTATCATGAAAAAAAAACTAGAAAAAAATATATATAGTTTTGAAAAAAATTGAAAAAATATATCTTAAAAGTAAACAGCTTTCAAGTGTCTAGAGCTTTAGTAACACTCTAGAGCTTTAGAAACACTCTAAGGCTTTAGTAAAACTATAACTTTTTTGTTTATTCCGGTTAATTTTTAATATTCTAACTTTGAATTTGCAACCGTAAATAAAATTTCTATGGCAATAGTCAAAACCAATTATATAAATTGCCCCAAGTTTTCTAGAATTAACACCATTTGTTAAGCTATGAATTTAAAATTTTTATAATTTATGTACTTTGAAAGATCATTCTTCAAATAAGTTGTACTAAAGTGTATTGGCAATTACATCGAAAGTTCACGCGTTTAATTAGAATCGTAAAACGGTAAAATTCTAGTTTTATGATAAAAAAATCGAGTAAAAAAGTAAATTTGATATGGCTTCGTCCTCCTCAAACTACAACACATGAATTAGCCAGCTCTTTCAATTCGATCGACGGTCTAGGTATTCAGCTTATGAATAAACTTCCACTCAATATCCGAAACTCAGGCCACAAAAAATTCCATGCTTCCCTAGTTAAACTTTTTAAAGAATTAGCTTTTTATGACATTACTGAATTTTCTCAATTTGATTTCAATAACTATTTTCTTGCTAATCCTTATCCTTTATCTATATAGTCTGACCATTTGATCACCTGTACAACCATATTTTTTCTTTTTTTTTATTGCTATTTTATGAATTTGATTTTTTTACGGTTTTAAATGAGTATAACTTTCAACCTTGTGCAAGAATTTTGAGTCAAATAGACTTTAATATGATGAACTTGATTATGAACATTGTATTTAATATTCGGATGCTTTTATCAGCTTTTTTTCAGAAGCGAAATTCGTGCAGCTACTATGATTATTATAAAATTACTATCCTTTTATATTAACTATAAATAAGTTTGACAAGAGCCTGAAATAATATTTATTATTATTGCTTATGAATAAATAAATAAAAATAAATGAATAAATGTGCCTTAAGCCACGATGCCAAGCACTACTAGTCGTAACTTATGTTTATGATAATTGATTATGATTTTTTATTATGATAATCATATCGATAATTATGATAACTATATCAATTGTTATAATAATTGACTTTTTGGTATTATTATCTATTTGGAATTTTCAAAAAACAGCAAACACCTGAAATAAAATTATATGTTTTGAAAATATGAAATATACACTTTTGGAAGTATGTGCACGAACGTGATTGTTTTGTTACATCATTGTGTTGACGGTTTTGACGGCAATTCATTAGTCAATCAGTTTCGTCTATAATGCATGAGATGCGAATGCGAATCCATCGATTGAGCGTAGGTGATTGAAACACTAACCTATCCATCGGCAGTCTCGTGCTAAGTGGCACGCGGGTTCAAAGTCACCCCGGACGACCCGAAAAGTAGCGCGGCGTGGCGCGCGCGCACGCCTGCCGCTACGCTTTTTCATCGCTTCTTCCGCATGAATTATACACACTGCGCCTACCGCCGTTCGTGGTTCGACCTATTGCGGCCCGATGCACGCCGCCAGTGTTGTGCGATGTGTCACACGGTAATCCGCTGCGACATCTCGCAGTTGCCCTCAGGCCATTCATAACGGACATTCGGGGAGGTTCAAAGAATATCTAGTGTTCAAATGTAAATTCCGATCGCGCACCAAATCAATTCCAATTCGATCATATGTACCTTCGCGCCAGTTCGCACACTCGTGACCTCTCGCAATGTGTCTTGCCGCGTGTATGTGTATCCTAATATGTGTGCCCGGATCCGTATATCATGCCACTTTGAGTGCGCGAAGAGATTTATAACCAATAAAATGATATTGAACTTATAGCGAAGGAGTTTCCGGATAAACACGCGCTACATATCTCTGTGCTTGTGAATACGTCGAAACATAGGTGTCCCTAAGTTAAATTGTGTTCTTCGAAAAAGTTTTAATGTAAACATTGCCCTTAAATAAATATTACGTATGCAGCCAAACGAAATTTAATTAATTTTAAGTACCTCTCAAACCAACGCTCCCAAATTAGTTCGACACATCAGAAGCTTTCACGCCGCTAAAGTAAATTTAAGTATAATATACTCGAGTGCAATTAAATTAGAATAAATTAGAATATTAATTAAGGTTTCTACAAGATGGCTGTTGTTATGTGTAATACAACTGCAAATGATAATAACAATAATGCAGATAATACAAGTGAGGATTCTAACCCCGTCACAACAATATATCGGTAATTTATTACAAGTATATTTGCATATTGATTTGAGCTATTGTTTTTTGTTAATTTGAGCTATTGTTATTTTGTGTAATTATAGATATGCAAATATCGTAAATATATGGCATAATAATTTATGCTTTATGCTTTATAATTATATAAATCATAAATGTTATTTTGTTACCAATTACACAATTATAGTGAAAATGATTTTGGAAATTCGGTGGTGACAGTTCGTGGTCAAACATCTATGTTCCATATTACATTTTACATAATTAAAAGTATAATTTTAACTTTTTGAATTTATTCCCTTCTATATGATTGCATTTAGTTATATATTTCGCTTTTACTAATATATTAACGTAATATTATATCAGGTATTCGCAAAAAGCTTTAAAGTTTCAAAGCCTCCTGCACATTTTGCCATACCTTAGAAACAATGAATGTATGTGTGTGTATGTCAGTATGTGTATGTGTAGATTCGGATACAAATTTACGTTTCGAAATCTTGGATTAACCGATTTGAATGATTTTGAAAAGCATTTCTTTATTATTTATGAGGCAAAAAGCGCAGAAAATGCAAAAAAAGATTACTAGATGAGTCTTATAGAAGAGTTTACTGAAAAATACAAATCAATTATTAGTAACACAATATAGTGCAATGCAAAAGCTTGGTGGTTTTGTGTTTTTTTTTTTTCAGAAAAGCATTAAGAAAGCATTTTGATTGAATTGTTAGTCAGTGACAAATTAATTTCTAGAGTTTTTGAAATAATTTGTTTAAATAAATCTTAGATAGCTAATAATTAACATCACATTAATTTTTCAGACAATATGTTTTCCAAGAAATTTTAATGTAGATATTTATCCAACTATTTTGAATTGATTTCGGGGTTGGAGTAATAGGATTCGGATTTTATATGATTTTTATCTATGAGAAGTATATAAACAATTATCCAATTTTCAATTTTCGATTCGAGTGAATTAAATAGCTTTCTCATTTCTCATTTTCATTGATCATTTATCATCACTATCAAGAAAATATAATATTTGTTTTTTTTCAGTACATTCGTTCGTAGTACTAGATTTGTAAGTTCATCCATTATATATTATTAGTACAAAAGATATTTTCATCGAATGGCATGTTAAGGTACAAATCGATTCAAAATTATATACACTATTCACTATTGTAGGAATAAAAGATTATGGTTTTGATAAAGCCACTCTATATTGATTACGAACTTTTTTATTCATAGAATATGTTCTGGCGTTTTGTTGTACTTTTGTTTTTATTCAGTTGGTTGTTTCTCATCATAGCAGATACATAAAACATTTAACTAATTTTATTATTTATACATATTGAGTTAAATTTATTTAAGAAAATAGTGCAAAAAGTGTAACTTGCTATTATAAAGTGGATCGTAAAGTTTTGGTTGATAACTCTATTTGCCTATAATTATATAGTAAGTGAAAGCATATGACAAATTATATAAAATCATATGCCAAAGAAATGAATTTATTTATAACCATATTTATTAACGAAGTTTGTTGTGTACCGTTTATTAAATGTTATTTTTGAAGTCGGAAATAATTTAAATATTTTAAGGTTCAAAATTCAATCAGAATTTCGGTTGAAAGAAAAAAATAAAGACGGTCTTTATCGTAACCTATGAGCATCAAGATGCAAAATATCAAATAAAACCATGTTGGCAAAATTAATATTTTATCAAATTTCTGATACATCCTAAAATAGTGTCAATTGTCAAGATTTAAGCTAGAATGCAAATAAAATAAGATAGAAGCTCGCTGTTAGATGACAAGATTTTAAGTGTTTTAATAAAAACATTTTTGACAATAAATTTTATCTCTTAACAATTGTTAGAAATTCTTCTGTAATATTTTATATCCTATATACACTATTTTGTTATGAGTTTGCAATGTTACTCTTTGCTAATGTTATTCATTGAATCATTGAATTGAATTCTCTTCAGCTTGACAATATAAAGCTGACATTTCTATGTATACAAAATGCGATCAGATTTGCATTCAGAACAGTTGCAACCAATTACTCCATCCTGCAGTTTTCCATTATAGTGGAATATTTCAACTTTAGTATGTTTTCTATTTATAACTCCAACATCTTATTATATTTAATTAAATCAGTATTTTATTCAAACTCTAACCATAACTGGCCTTTTAGAGAAAAATTTAATAGGGCAAAAATATATCATGCATTAATGCAATTGATTTGTTTATTCAATGTTAAATTTATTTTATGAATTATAATTTCAAGTTATTTAATATTTATATATCATCTTATACCAACTTCTTTTCATTCTAATTTTCAATAATTTGATTGACAATTTAAAAATTCATTTATAGATTATAGTTTTCAGTTTTATACAATCGTTTGTTACAATGAAGTTCAGTCAATTTAGTACACAAATTCTATATCATTATATTATTTCTATCTTAATTCAATTTTATAAATATTGTATAGTACACCGCGCACCTTTCGGCGCCTTTTTATTGATTCAGTTTGGCTTACCAGTAGTTTACCCAACTGAATAGGGTTTACATAAAGTCGAAATAACAATATATTAAATTTATTTATAAAATTTATAAAATATGTAGAAATAACAATAATATATATGTTTAAAAATTATATACTTCATTAGAAATGATATCATATAAATACAGACTTGCTGATCATTATAATTATCTATCCAGAAAGTTGTTAGAAAGAACTCATAACAGAAGAATTAGAAAAAAATCTAATGACATATTTTGTTTTTTTAACCTTTCGTAGGGTAAGTTACAGTAATCGCAAAAAATCAAAAATTAACATTTTTGTGTATCTTTACGTTTCGAAGCCTTTGAACATTTTGTGTGCGTATAGGTATGTATGTACATATGTATATGTGCATATGTGTACGTATGTGCGGATACAATTTTTCGTCCACGGGGTCAAACGATTTGAATGATTCACAAAACATTTGAACCCTATTGATGAAAAGACGTTCTGATTAGTTTCAAAGAAAAATGCCAAAAATGGTAATTTACTTTTTGAGAGAACGCAGCGTCCATTTTACTTGTATTGACGAAAAAAAGAACTAAAAATTATAATGAAAAGAAGTTTGTATGGGATGACATATAAATATTAAATAACCTAACGATATAATTTATTAAAATAAATTTAACATTGAATATTTTCATCCAATAAAAAAAGTAAAAAAAAAAACATTTAAATAGAGAATTGAAAATAATCGATAATTAGGCATACGCGCATCAAAGTATCAGATATTTTATAGAGATTTTGATAATAAATACAAATTTTGTTTACATTTCTATTTATATTAATAATTTTAAATTTTAATTTAAAATATCTTTTTCATTCTTATCCTTTTTTATTCTACCATCCCTGTAAATTGATACCTGGATATAGTTCTTAGATCAATTTTGTTTTATTATGGAATATTTGATTTAATGTCTTATGTTTATATAGATGATCGAAAATAAATAATTTTATAAATGTATGTCAAACATATAATATTATATATCTATATATATATATAATATGGGTGTGAACGAGTCTCTCTATTTTCATAAGTATTAAAAGAAACTGAATTTCTTATCTCAATTTGTATTGAGTATTTTATAGTATTTTATACTATACAAGCTTCACCAACTTCTATGATTTTTATTACTACAAAAATGACTTTAAAAATAAATTTTGATACATTATATGATAATTGTTTCACAAGGGAACACTCAGGTTTACTCTTCTGGGATTTTGATGACACTTTGATTTGGTGATTGAGTTGATTGTCAAATAGAACCCTATAAAATATTATAGGCCTATGAAAAGTGGTTTAATTATGTTAGATTTCGAAATCTATTGCTATAAAAAATATATATTGGATGTTAGCAGAGCCGGATTTAGAAATTTGGCGTCCTGGTGCACTGACGAAAATGCCGCCCCATTTTTTAACTCATTTTTCTAAAAGTGACTCTTTCCACTTGAATGCCACCGCTCCGGCGAGTGGAAAGGGTTAAAATAACTATTTGCTTGCAAAAAATTCATCATGGATTACTACATACTTGTTCTATTATTACATACATATTCTATTTTTTTTACAAATTTTGCCGCCCCAAAAAAATTGCCGCCCTGGGCACTATCCCCGATTGCCGCCCCTATTGTAAATCCAACCTGGATGTTAGTACAGTATGAGAAGCATCCAAAAAAATGTTCATTTATCAAATTTTGACAAAAATCTATTCTAGCATTATACGTTTAAAAGGTTTTATTATGATTACGTTTTTATAAGCAATTTTACATTTATGACTTTTTATTACACTGATGGAAAACATTTAAACAGCACATTGTCACATCAAATAGCGTTTAAGAAATATTCCACGCTTGGCATTTTATATGAAAGTTATATTGCTCAATTTTATGTGTTGTGCGATAATAAAGTCCGACTACATTTATGTGTTATTAAATTGTACAATGTTGAATTTATTATAAAGGATTCTGTTCTTCTTTCAGTTGTCGGGCTCCCATCGCTTCGCTGGACTGCATGGAGGAGTTCAGCGGAACGGGCGCCGCGCTTGAACTGGGTGAGTGAGCGCATCGAACTTTTTAAACTTGGAATACGATACGTTATATATATTTGATGTACCTACTACTAAAACAAACAGTATATTAGTTTTTTTCCTTTTTTATTGAAGATTTTATGAACCGTTGTAAAGACTACTATAAGATAATGCATTACTTACTGTGGTTATTTGATGTTCGAAAAATGATAGTTTCTTTTATGATTCCACTAGAAAGTTTATAATTCAATATTTGAAGAACAGTATCAAATTATAGTTTTATCAAGCTAATGTTCAATTTTTTTCATAAAAAAGTGTAAATATTATAATAAAACGCGTATCCCAATATCACTCTTGTGCTAAGTGATTCCCACAGGAGTCCATGACAATTTTCAAGGAGTTCACGTCAACGAAAAAGAATTATGTAGATCTATAATAGTGAATCACAAAAAACCCCTTTAATATCTTTTTTATTATTATTATGAAATCAATTAATAAATATCTAAACTTGTATTAGTATCTTTACTTCGAATGTTTATTACTAAACGTTAGCACAAATACATTTTTTTTTAAATCGAAATCGGCTAAATAGCGGGTCCATGGCAAAAAGTTTGGGAACCTATGTGCTAGATGTTTTTGGTTTTTTAGACAATTTAAAATAGAGATGTAAACGAATAAAATACAATGAACCTCAACCAGAATTTATTTGTTTGCTTTATGGTTACAAAGGTTGTATTCCTACATTTACAAAAACTATATCTACAATTTATCAATTCTCTATAATAAAAGGTCGTTTGATTGCAGTGAACAAGTAAAAAAATGTATAATGGTAGCCGATTATATTATATAATGTATAATATTAAAAAAATTAGTCCTATGATGGATAAAAGAATTCAACTTCATACCTTTAATTGCGAAAGACTGTTAATAGTTTAATTATTGAACAATCTCTGGAATCTGAAAAAATATTTTTCAAAACGATCCTTTGAGTTGAAGTATAATAATATGAATTATCAATTATAATGAAAATTTATACTAGAACCGCGATACTCATTTTTTTGCAAACTCTTCTAATGCAAACGTTGTGTTGTTTTTATTACAGTTTTTACATTTTTTTTTCAAACAAAACATTGAATTAAAACTATAACATTTCAAAATTATTAATAAAAATGAAATACTGTACAAAATTAAATTAATAATGTATATATAGCGGCATATAAATTTGTTTATTATAATTTTTAGATTGAAATTATATATCTGAATACTCATAATAACTTTAAACATTATATGTATTGTATGCTGGATGAAAAATTTTAATAGGTGTGAAAGAAAAATGAAACGTCGTTCAATTAATAATTTTCACATTTCAGTTCAAAGAAATACATTTTATTAGTATTTTTTTGTTGTCATTAGAAGGTTGTTCAAAATAAAAAAATATAAAGTATTAACGTTTTTAAATGCTTACTTATGCTAACTTGAACAAATAATTCCAGCGAAGAAATAATTTAGCTAAATGGGCTAATATTTAATGATATTTTTTATCATATTATTTTTATGAATTATTCAAGTAAATGAAATTAATCTTGATATTCATAATTATATATACGTATATATTATTTATTACAAATTTTACTCAAATGACTATCCTGCTTATACAATTATCTAATCATTGTCATTTTTATTAATTAGTCTTATACGAAATATTGTTAGGTATTTCATTATTTAGTTTTAATATTAAAATACTATTTAATAATATTGAAGTTATATTTGAATAATATATTTTGAAAATATCGAAATATCGTGATTAGTTTGCAATAAAATCATTCAAAACGATTTCCAAGTTGTATTCGTGGTGGAAAACGTAATAAAAATCAAATACATGTCGCTGGTTTGAATATTTTGTTTCATTTTTTATTTATATTTGATAACTTTTATCAATAAAATGAAATTGAAAAGACATTATGACGGTAACAGTAATTTTTATAATAAATTATATTCGTAGTAGTTACAGGTACCTACTCTAACTATTCTCTATAACATTTAGTTTAATATATATTCTTTATTAAATAATTTTGTTATCAACATTATTAATGCTTATATTTGTTACAGGGCGCTCCATATCCTTGGGTTCAAATACGGGTCCACTTCGACAAGGTGCCTCTACTCCTGGTTTACGATACAAAAATTTAGGAAAATCTGGCCTTAGGGTTTCAAATATAGGACTAGGTTTGTATCATTATGCTATTTATGAATTAAACACAGTTTTTTTCCGAAATATAATTATTCGTCTTTCTATGAAGTTTATAAATTATATAAGTAAATTGTATAAGTTATTTACACTATGCCACTACGTTTAATATAGTAAAACTAGAACAACATTATCATACTCGAAATATTAATCCTGTGCTTTAATCGTAGTTAAATTAAAAGTAAATAGGAGTTGATCGTATATAAGCAAAGCACTTCCCGACTTTTGACTTTTTGTCCAATATTGTTAAGATTTCAGTTGAATATGTATATTGGATAATTTGATATGTTTGTAGGCTTTGCAAAGTAACTTTATTTAATCGTTCAAGTTTGTTTTTTGAACTCAGTTTTATTTAGCAATCAGAAATACATAAAGATTCCTATGAGCTAAAATGACAAAATTTATGAGTGATGCCTAAGAAGAACTCCAATGAGAACTTCTCAGTTTTACAATTAGTATGATATATTAGACCTAATCTAAGACTAAGTCTAGGGGCCATTGTCGTTTCAACCTCCTAATGCCAAAAGGTTGAGTAACGTCAACTATAGAAGGATTCAAATGTGAGTCCAGTTTGCGCTTATATTTTTCGTTAAGTAAATAATTGTAAAATTATCTATTAGTTGATTAACTAATTAAATATTATTTCATACGTATTACAGAATAATAAATGACATTTAACTGAAGCATTGCATTTTGATAATTTAAATAAATTTTTTATGTTTCCTTACACTTTCTCTATACTCTCTATTGAAAATAAATTTGATGCTTTCAATGTACATATTGATATATATTCATACACTAGATCAAGTTTTAATGTCCTATTAATATTTAACTCTTTTACAATTATCTATTTGATTTAAGCGAAAAGTTACCTTACAAAATGTACTGATCGTGAGCTCTGCTTTAACTAAATTTTCAGTCATAAATAATAACTATTCAATATATTTACACAATGAAACTTACCAGTGAATGCATAAATAACAAATCTAACAATCATATTTTTCTAAATTACTTACATTTATATTAATAGACATACTATATCTTCTCATCTTTACATGCAAAAGTTGTGTGTTGTCTTTTACAATACTAATTTTTATATTTTTTTATTTTATTTTTAGAAAAACGTTAAAATAAAACTATAATATTCTGAAAATAATAATAGTATTGTAAAACCCTTGATCTAAGTTTGCTATTTTTAGTTGTATGATTAAAATTTTAAATAACTCGTATATATTAAACCCAATTATACTGGTAGAACATTTTAAGGTTATATAACTGATACTATGATTTAATTTAAGAACTCAATAGGGCACAGTTTTATAAAAAAGTAGCCATAATATAACTGGATATACATTATACTTTACAATTTTCTTAGAACATAATTGAAATCTCATGTTACATACTCTTATACATTTCTAAATAGACTTTTTAAATTCGCGTTATGTATCTGAATCCAATTAGATAACTACATTACTACAATTAATAGATAAGTAGATACTCCATACGAATAACAACAGATATGTAATACTCCTGCAATTTAATAAATATTACTTGGAATAATATTTTTAGGAGATTTTTTGAAAGCTAACCAATGCATTTTAGATTAGAAAGCAACACCTTTAAATACATATTATATAATATTACTATTAAAAGGTGAAGACGATGTAGAGTAATATGATTTATATTACAATTTTGATTCAAAAATACTCGTCATTAGACATAGGCGTTATGAAATAGGTGTGATGTAATACAAAACTAAATATATCGTGTTCCATAATGTAATTGAAAATGCATGTCATTTACCTCCTACATGTGGACAATAAATTTATTTCGGCAGTAGGTCCTAATACATATGTAAATGATCGAATTACAGGTACGTGGCCAACTTTCGCCCCGGGCGTCACCGAGGAACAAGCCGAACAAATTGTGCGGCTTGCGGTGGATAGTGGAATAAATCTATTTGATCTGTCGGAAGCGCACTCAGGTGAGAGACGACCTAAAACCAACAATCAACAAAAACTAAAAAGTATAACTGACGACGAGCAAATTAAATCTGTCTATCTGTTAACGAACTAGAGTTTTATCTAATGAAATTTTAATTAGTTTTGCGGTTTACTTTTGCTTTTGGAGTTGCGGTGAGAGGGCTATACGATTAATATTTGTGATTAACTGGTTTAATATATTTGTTTTAATAGTAACTTTTGTTTAAACGGTGTCAAATGTGACGTACTACTTTATAAAAATAAATTGAATTTCCTACACAACAAAATATCAGATCTCTTTTGTTGTGAAAGATATTTTCAACTCCATATGGAAAACACACAAAGATTTTAGTTTTAAATAATTTGTACATATTCCACTGCGAAAGAGCAAAACTGGAATTTAAAATGTTATAGAAGTCTATTAAAAACATTTTTAGAAAGATAATTTAGTTTTTCTTTCTAATGCGGATGCTTATTAGAATGCTTTTTAGTGAATATATATGTCGATATAAAGGTAACATCCGTACTACAAGGTAGTTACGTTCCAGAAAACTAGCGTGTTATGCGAATCCGTGTTATAAGGGACAAAGAACTAGTACTAAAAGAAGGGTTACGTTCCAAGAATTCAAAAAAACCTGCTACATATCATGATTTTATAATAAATATTGTTACATTTATTAATTTTTTTTAGAAGTAATATACATTACTTGAATTATATGATTTTTTGCGCCATAATTAACAAGTAAGTGCTATTCAACATGATCCTTTTTTTTTGCAAGATTTCCCCTGAGCAGTTTTCTATACTACCTCCAGATCCGTGCATTATTTTTTGCAAAACAAATTATATTTGCGATTACTTACTTTTAGCAAAATGATATTTATATATTCAATACATGTAAAGTAATCTTTATTAAACTTTTATGCTCATTTTATTTAAAGAATTGCTAAAGAATTATTTAATATATTGTTCAGATAATCCTAGAATATTTTTTCGATAGAGCGTACGCGTTTTAAAAAAATATATATCAAATTTTATGTTTAGCACTAGTTTTATCGCATTTATTGAGCTATTGTGCGATTTTAGTAATATTATATTAAATAAAGTTTTTTTTTCATAAGTTTTACTATATTTCTTATTTTATTAAAACTTTCCTCAATTCTCAAACCGTGTTATGCGAACCCGAAAGTATCGTGTTATGAGGGGGATGGTCTCAATTCTTAAACCGTGTTGGAGCGAATCTGTTTTATATAAGTACCGTGTTATGCGGGGGTTACCTGTACATACATACGAAAAAGTAGTATGTATTAATGGCAACTATTTGCCATTCTGCTATTTTTATATAAAATGGTAGTAAAAACTGTCAAAATGCTAAGTATTTGCATTGCAGTTAGCTATGTTACGCTGCTATTTTCATATAAAATGGTAGTAAAACTGTTAAAACGCAGAGTATTTGCAGTGCAGTTAGGCGTTCTAGGTAACCTAACCTATAAAACGCACTAATGTCAAAAAAAAGAATGTATTATGACTGCTTTATTCCGATGTGCATTTATAACACACATGAAGTTAGATTTTATGTGCACAGCCAGCCACAGTCGTTACTGTACCCAATACAAACCCAGAGGTATTTTCACAGTGCCCACAGACGACTCAAATGTATGTTCAAGTAACCTAAAAATATATCTTAGTATTAATTTTTATTAATTTATGTATTCAAAGCATCAATACATAATTCAATAAGTTCAGATCACTGATTTAAATACTTTCAAAAGTTACTATAGCTATAGTTGCTAGCTATAAATTTGAATTTTGTATTCGCTACAAAGTAAAATAAAAACAGGACAACAGGCGTTCAACGAATGAACTTGCCGATGAAAATAATTGCACAGTTAAAATAATCGAAAAGTGCTCAAGTATATACGCTTATACAAGTCTGTCATTTTGCGCAAAAAACATCCCACATACACTATAGAATACATGTGCAAGTCACAAGTTGCGCAATTATACAGCGCGTTGTTATGGCAACACTATGTTGCGGACTATTTTACCGGAAAAGTGGCCTCACTGTTTGATCTTATAAGCTATTGTATGAATGATTTAGATAAGAACGAGCAGCCTAGAGTTTAGTAAAATTGTATCTATTATTTAAGAAAGTTACCTTACATTGATTTCATTTCGAATTCATTTCTTATTTGTAACTTATTTCTCTTATTTATTAAGTTACTCTTATACAACTTTAGAAATATATTTATATATATATATATATATATATATATAAATATATATATATATATATTGTGCTTAATTTTCATTGAATCGTTCCTTTGCAGGAAGTAGAGCGGAGACAGAGCTCGGGAGAATTCTACAAAGAAGAGGATGGAAGAGATCTAGTTATATTGTAACAACAAAAATATATTGGAGCACGAAGTAAGTTTCAACATTAATTCTTCAGTAAATACGCAATTGAAAACTTTCATTTCCTATATAAATTACATTTATAGTATAAAACAGAATTTATTTCATATCTTAATGTGCACTTAAATTATTATATTTAAACTACAAGTTGATATTTTTATTATTTATGTAGAATTTATTTTTAGTGTTTTTAGTGTTTTTTTATTATTAATTTTTTTACAACCTCTTTTTACAAAAACTTTTAACATAAAAAATTAACATTTCTAACAAGACTCATTATTTTAACTATTTTATAAGTTTACTTAATATTATTTTACAATATATTATTTTTTTAATTTTTGTATTTTACATTTTATATTTATAAATTTAAAAAACTTCTTTTGAATAATATCCCTAACAATATATATATATATATATATATATAATATATATATATATATATATATATATATATATATAATATTATACCGTAGTCAGTTCAATATTTCATGATATTTTAGTTTGTTTTATATATAATTTACCATAAATTTTGTTTGTCGACGTTTTCTCAAAAATACACCTATCCCCTGTGTTATACTAGATTCTAAAAACGTGTAACTCGAAAAATTTATTTTTATATGGAAAAACCGTGCTAAACGAAAATCACTATAAAAAAACCTTTCCACCACTAATTAAAAATAAAGTTTAAAAAAAAATATGCTTTTGTTTTGGTATTTCAAATAAACTAGCTTATACACACACGAAATTTAATTTTGATCATAAAATAGGGAGTTTCCATCTTATCTACATATTTTCATCATAGACAGATTAACTATTAAAAAATTTGTATTTAAAACATACATTTTGTTGTGTTGTATTTTAACAGTAAAACAATGGAAATGTAATTATAGATTAGTGTTAATAATATTGTGTAAATGCAAAATTAATACATTTTCTTAAAAAAAAATATTTTCAAAAATCGTGTAAGATCGTAAACGTTCAAAACGGGGGATAGATGTACCTGCAATGATTTAAAAAAAAGCCATTTGAACTGATAAAAAACTTTTCTAATTATATCAATTGGGATTGTTACTTCATATTTTCTTATTGGGGGGGAACATCTACGATCTTTATGAAATTTTGTATAATAATGAAGTTATAGTACATCTTATCGAACATCATAAAATATTAGGGATCTGGGATTCAAATCTAAAAAATTGGTAAAGTTTTCAATTAAGGGCCATGTCAAAATTTAAAAACGTTATTGACACAGTTTTTAAAATTGCTAAATTTTTATTCTTTATGTCGATTATTTCTGCTAGTTTTGCTTGCTTGCCTAGCATAGTTTATTTTATAAAATCATAATAAAAATTATAGAATCAATTTTATACTTATGGTTTCATAATTATTATTACAATTATATTAAAAGTACTAATATTAATATAAATTATGATAATATAAATTAACTTCACATTTTATATAAAATCAATTATTATTTAACCTTATTCAAACATAAAAAAAATATTTTATAGTCAGTTTAAATCTTATGTTAAATTGCACGTAGTTTATGTAAATGAGTATAATCAACAAATTTGATTCGATCATGCTTTTCACGAATAAATTATAACATGCTAAGCACTATATATTTATATTCATAAAAAATGTAGGTCAGACGAGCGGGGTCTCTCTAGGAAACATATCGTTGAAACAGTCCGAGCCAGTTTAGAGCGCCTTCAACTTCCCTACATTGATGTCGTAATAGTACATAAGGCAGATCCCATGTGTCCCATGGAAGGTCAGTGAATTATTAAGTTAAGCATAAAAACAACTATATTGATATATTCTAGGCACATCTCGGAGCTTCTTCCAGGTATGGTATTAGGAATTTTTATAAGGCGATTTATAATACAGAATGTTGTATTTCATAAGGAGATTTAAAATTAAAGCTGATTTATTGGAAATATTATGTTATTTGGTTTAAATAGTATCTCCCGTCCATATAAAGTACCGTTTCGAATATGAAATTTCTGTTAGGGTAATCTATATAATATTACAAACATTTTCAAACCTATAGATTTATGTTAAAATCCAAAATGTTTATTTATTTTGAGTTAATATTAATTGTAACTTAATTTTTGTAATCAGATTTCTGTAGAAGTGTATTTTGTTCAGATTCAGATACATTTATTAAAACTTTCTAAATATTTGCAAATATTTTACATAAATCATTCTCAATCACACAATAAACAATTAAAACAAAAATTTGGGATTATTTATTATAATTAGATTATTGAACATAATTGATCCTTTGCTTTAAATAGTAGTCAAATTAAAAAGTCAGTAGGAATTGATTATATATTTGAAAATATTTTAAGATTCCTGAATATACTTTATTGGTGGCGTATCTAAATAAGTTTCCATTACCTACATTTACTTTAATTTTCTATAAAGTTGGAAATATTTTGCATATATGTATATTTCATTCATTTCAATAGACAACAAATATAATATAATTGGTTAGAAAGAAGCTTAAAATTAAATATACATTTATAATATTCCTTAGCATTAAACTTCAATTTACACTTAGGGTAGAGCGGGGCCTAAAGGTCCACAGGTACAAAGGTCCACCAATTATTTCAAAAACTAGTAAAGTATAGAATTTTTTTATCGGCACTAGTTCTAAGTACAATTTTCTATATCATCAGGAGAAAACGATCATGTTATAATATTTTATAACAAAGTATTTTTCGTTGGTGGTAGTATTTTGGTTTTGAGCTTTTTTATTTAGTTTATGCTACCTAAAGATTTTTTAAGTATGCGTTATTTAATTGTTTTGTAAGATGTATTGTTATTTTCAAGTACATTCAATTTTTTTTATATAATCTTCATAAAAGCTTACATGTAGGTAGGTTAAGAAGGGCCAAACCTTACGTTGGGAAGATGTAAACGACAGGAAATATGAATAAAAAAGTAGATTAGGTTAAAAAAAGTCATTTTACAAAAGATAAATTAAATTAATAATTACTCGACCTCTGTCGATGAATATTGCTTTTGAAATACCAGACCAAAATACCCATACAATTCGTAATTCACATTGTAATTTGTAATTACATTTGTATTTCACATTGGATAAATAGTATAACTATTATTTCGTAAAATTAAAAAAGCCGTTGAATTTATCTGCCACCTGGCTGCCATCTTCTCGTCCTGCTTCTGGGATAAAAAAGGACATATGGCAAATTCTAGAAAAATAGTGATGAATATTTCTATAATTAAAACTAAAATTGTACGGGATATAGTTTGATAGTGGTTTGATGCATGCTAGTGTTGTCATGTAGTTCATTTAGTTTTGGCAGGATAATTACTGATAGTTGAAATTGGATCTCTGTGTCCCGCCATACCCTATATTTCACAATTGATTCATAAAATGCAAAAAATGTAAAAAATTCAATTCTTTAATGATATTAAAATATAGTTCTATCATTCTGTGAGTTCTTATTACATTTAATACAAAGATATTTCTTTGTATGTATGTCAATATACATACAATATGCTATATGTCGCGTGCTATTCAATTTCCCTATGAAACATTATATATGCAAATTTTATAGATAGTCTCGTAAAATTTTTAATAACGTCATTATAAAAATGTACGATATATCTTTCCTTCAGAGGTGGTTCGAGCGATGCACTACGTGATTTCCCAGGGATGGGCGATGTACTGGGGAACGGCGCGATGGACTCCTGTGGAGGTGACTTAGGGTTGTAATAGAAAACAACCTTTGTATTTTATTCTCAAATGACTAATAATCTCTCTTGTGGTTTATTTTTGCAGATTATGGAGGCATATACGAATTGTCGGCAATTCAACTGTGTTACGCCGATCGTCGAACAGACGGAGTATCACATGTTTTGTAGGGAAAAGGTATGATGAAATATTTTTCATATATTATGCAATACAGTAGAAACTCGATTAACCTGTATAATTTTTGCCGATGGGCATTCGGATAATAGAAAATACATACATAGATATCAACGAAAATCAATGTTTATTAAGAAATTAACACTTTCTTATGTATGTACATACATAGTTTTTTAGGTTACATTACATACAAATACTAAAATGCATAATTATGCAAATATTGTAATTGTAAGTATGAACACACATATTAATTGGTCGTGGTTGGTAGTCCGGATAATCGGAAATCTGTATAACTGAGGTCCGGATAAACGATGTTCTACTGTATTGTAAACATAATGAAAAAAATTTTTTGAACAGAATTAAGAATGTGAATGAAAAATGTTCATCATTTTATTATTCATAAATAAAATAATTTAAAAGTGATTACGGAATGAAGTTTACTAATAATAAGAGCAATTCGTCGGTGAAATAGAGGATAACATAGCGTTGTTATCACAACAATATATTATAACAATATGTTTGTTCCGAGGTTTATTATTTTATCTTTTTAAGGCTGAACTGTACCTCCCTGAATTATACAATAAAATTGGCGTAGGCCTTATGGTATGGGGCCCTTTATCTATGGGTCTAGCAGGCGCCACTGGAGAACAACCTCATACCCAAATCTTCACATCAAGAGGCAGTTTTAAAGCTAAATACAACTCATTTAGTTGGACAGAAGATGAAGTCGCTGCTATAAATAAAGAGGTCAGTAAAATGCTTTTTTAATTACTTACGTATTATGGTTAACTATAATTCTTCTCGAATGTTTTGTTAGCTTAAACTTCAATAAGGTTCAATTCACTGCGTTTGGTCAGATAATTATATATAGCAAGTTTTATATATTTAGGATATTTAAAAAGTAACACAGGGATTTTTTCGGGTATTTTTAAAATACTTTGTTTACACTTAATTAAAATTATGTATAAAATTTGGAGCACCACTGGAATTTTTTTTCTTGTATTTTTCAAGTACGTTTATTAGAATTTTAATACTGTTTATCAAACATTTTCCTGTTCATACTGTTGATAGTAAATATTTATTGTCTTAAATTTCATTAAAACTGATTCAAAGTTATTATTACATACCTAATTGTTAGTAATATTTTTCGAATTTAATTGATAAAAAGTCTTTATTCGTATGATACATCCCTTTGACTTGTTATATGTTGCAAAATGAAGAACGGTTTTATTTTTATAAAAACTTGCAATTATAAATTATAATTTATGTTAAAGCCTGCGTTATCGTATTGTACTCAGATACTTTGATTAAACATGGTTATTTAATTATTGTTGCCTAGTATTAATTTAATTATTACTCTAATTAAAATAATGACCTCTCTACTCTCTACTAAACGTGTTGCATAATAATGATAAACAAATATTGCGCGCAATAAAAGGTGATCAATTATTTAAGAGAATCGTTTGAGCGAATAATGAATTTAAAATTAGACGATTTACTTGGTATAACGATAGAGTACTTGGTCTTAATGAACTTGGTGAAGCTATGAAAGCCTATTCAAAAAAGTATACTTTAATTTAATGGAATATGCAATAGTTTTATGGAATAAGGCTTATGGAATTCAAACATATAAACGTTTTTCAACAAGTTAATCGATGTTTCGGTGATACTCAAATTAGTAATGGCTACAAGAATGTATTTGTAATTTATGTATAATGTGTGTATGCATGTTGATTGTGTATGATGTGCCTATGGATATTTGATGTGTGAATATCCATTTGGTGGCCTGCCCGCATCGCGTAATTGGCATACATGTTGCTGATACAAACAGATCACTTCCGGATTCTAAATTAATCCTTGTTGATTAAACTGAATCTGACAAGATCGAAATTTTGCATGTATTCGGGGATATTTGCACAATTTAACCCGCAGGCAAAATATTTTAAATTCAAATGCTGCTGCGTTCACATGTTATTTTATTGAACCTATTATCAATAACAAAATATCTTTAGTTGTATCAACAATATATTTTTCAACCAATTTATATCGTGCTTGAAAAATGATCATGCAGTTTGTAATATCTCATACTTGCATGGCTAGTTATTTTGCTCTCCGCTACTATATCGATCGGGGCTTCTCGAAGCGATTAAACAAAATTAATATTAGTTTGAGTCACGCAATGTGCAACTTACCATACACTGTTAAATTCAAATTGTTGAGGTTTAAATTAAAGTAAACTAACTACTGCATAGTGACTTTCAAATCTCAACTCAACTCAACTTCATTTGAATAATATTATTTTTAGGATCATATTCAAGGTTTCGGTTGGACGAAAGAACGAGGCGAAGAAACTAGGAAGCATAGTGATAGATTAAAAGATATTTCGTGTTTAGCTGAAAAACTTGGTAAGTGAAATACTAATTCATTGAAAAATAATGTGATTTCTTTTTCGAACAATTAGTTGTTATTTATAAAAAGTTTAGTTTCAAAATATTAAATAAATTTTCTTTGCGCTTTTTCAGTTTTCTAAAACTCCTTTCTACCTTGTTGAAAAGATCAGAACAAATTTGATTCTAGATTATAAATCAAAGTGGGATACTTATTTTAATAATTGCTTTAAGTTCTGAATAGATATGTAAGCATGTATATATGGATATTATATAAAATTTTCGAAAGCATAACATCAAGTAAAAAGGAATAAGTCTTTAAAGCAACTTTATTAAGTTTCTTGAGTTTTGTCAAATAATTTGATTTCATCATTAGTGTACTAAATGAAGAAATTTAAGAACAATCATAATATACTTCAATAATAATATATCGCAATAATATAATAATAATATATAACATTTGTACTAGCAATGATACTAAAACTGTCAATAATTGTGAAATTATTTGTACAGTGTCTAAAGTATAATTCAAAGGAAAGGGCAGCAAGATGCAATGATTTTTTTCAGAAACTATTGTCTGCCTTGTTACTCTTATGTGGCTTATCGGCTTGCCTTTTACCAGAGTACTCCATTCTCCATACCTTATTAATAATAAATGATGGTGACTAACTTGTAGTTTTTCAATCTTGATCAGGTTGCACGCCTACGCAATTATCTGTGGCGTGGAGTTTAAAACATGAGGCAGTCCAGTGCCTGCTCCTCGGAGCGAGTTGCCCGGAGCAATTGCACGAATCGCTCCAAGCACTCCAATTGCTCCCTCGACTAAGTGGAGCGGTGATGTTGGAATTGGAACGTTTGTTGGACAATAAACCCGTACGACCACCACCCCATATCTACTATGGCGTTGCGGTGACAAAGCGCCGGCCCCGCTGGGCCACCCAGGTACGATGAAACTTACTATAAAATAGATTTTACTTAGCAAGAGTAGTTAGTAGTAGTGACTTAGTTTTGAATTTGAATTAGTACTTAAATATACAATGTAATGTTATTCAACTATTTTACTTTCATTATACATCTGTATATTGTGCTCATTTATAAAGATAATTCTTATTTTCGTTCATCAAAATCTATCTACAGTGGCACAGGAGGGGCTGGGGCAGATAGCCCAAAAGATTTAGATGAAGTATGCAGTGAAGATAAAGATAAAGTCGCATTTTGTGAAATTCAGTGACCTGCGGGGCACACGCGTAGGCATAGTATGTAATCCAATGCATATTTATAACTGATATCTTGAATGTTAGTTGTTAATGAATATGGACAAAGTGACATGGTGTTCTGTTTTGTAATAATACTTATTTATTTAATGATATTTCAAGTAGTGTCCATAGTTTTTGCTCATAATAGATTCATTGACTACTATTAGGATAATTTTTTAATTAATTAGGAATTATAATAGCATCATTATTTAGAAAAAATGCAACGAATTACAAAAACCATCTCAGTATGTTCTTACCTTATATGTCATTTTGGCTGACAAAATGCATTTTGTCAGACAAAACTAAGAAAACAAAGAAGTGCGGACAAAATGACATATAAGAACATACTGAGATACTAATTTTTAAGAAGTTAGTTCACAAATAAATCGTTTGGTTCTTTTTGGGACTTTCGCCAACAGAGGTCAACAACCTTGTCGGACTAAGAGTGTTTTGCAAAAAATGCAAGTATTTTCTTCTTACCCGTGGATCTTTTGGTCTATTCTTAGAAGTAATTAGAGTAGAAGTTAAAGGCTAACCGCCTTTGATAGGTTTCAATTTTCTTTTTTCTTGATCTGGAATGAACTATATTGTAGTGCTGACAAATTAGTGCTATGTCATTTTGTCCATTGCATAAGTATTCCATTTTGTCCAAAAGTGAACAAGAATGATTAATTTTTAAAATTCCATTAAGTATTGATAAAATTGATCAATATAAAATATATCATTATTCAGTTTTTTTCGATTTATTTGGCAACCGTTGAGAATATTAAAATGCAGTTTTTTCACGTTATTCTAGCCCACGTGACAATTCACCTGATGTTTAATTGAAGCTTCTACGTGCCCGGGAAGTCTGTGACAAATTAATAAAACTAACTTTTTTTCGCCCATTTTTGGGCATTTTTTACATATGATATCTTTAAACGGTTATAACTTGCAAACTATATATTATAGGCCTTTGATGTCTTAAGATTCAAAACTCTAAACTAAAATGTCTTTAATTTAGTACATGAATTATTTTGATACCTTTTACCGTTCCCGAGATATTCGCCACAAACTCTTTCAAATTTTTAAGTTTCTAACGGATAAACGCCTATAACTCGGAAACTTTTCAAGATGTATACGAACGAAATATGCGTATTTAAAATATCTATCTGCTGGTGCATGAGCTCATTGATTTTTATAGAAATAATTACAATGAATGATAAGGAAGTCCTCAAAAACATGAGAAGCTAATGTTTGATACTAACGTTTGAACTCATTACTACGATAAGACTTTGACAATAACGGTCAATGTCTGACAGGATTGTAATATGCCTTTTTCATGTTAAACAGTTGCGGAATTATTACTAAAACAAGACTAGTTTTTACATACCACTGTGTTGTTTTGTCAATTTCTACCATTTTGTCCGTATTTCACTTAGTAGTATTAGTAGTTATATATAATTAGTTATTTAGTAGTATTAGTTGTTAATGAAATGAATGATAATGACCTCAAAATTAAATTTGATTTTTAGTAAAAGCATCCAAGCATAATTCATCATAACCAAGTAATTTAAGTCAATATATGAATCTATCCAACTATTAGATATGTCTAACTTTTAGGGAGAAGTCATCAACACCAGAACTCTCAGCCACGCGCCCTTGTTAATATCGATTACACAATGATCAGCGGTTCAGCCAGCTCAACTCCCATCACTGAATCCGAATGTGAAGCAACTCCTTGCGCATCTCCGCCGCCTATTGGTTCAGCATCGCAATCCCGACGTCCTTCTGTGATTTTGAGTCTACGTCGACTTAGTGAAACATTAGTATCACTTGCGTTCGCAAGGACAACGAAACCTACGCCGGCTGCTCCGGATATCGTAATTGTTCCAACACCAGATGCAAATATACGGGATTCGAACACCGCTATTTCAAAGTCGCGTTCGGCCAGCTCTCGCCTGGAAGCAATGGATACGTCTGGTAGTGGTGCGTTGAGTCCGGCGGTCATCCCGAGCCACGCGCGTAGATCGAGCGCCAGCGACGTGCTAAGGCGCATAAGAGAACGCGAGGTGATGAATAGGTCCGTGTCAAGTGGGGCGATCATGGGCGGTAGGGGCGGCGCCAGGTGCATGCGAAAAGGTAGTATGTTTTAGATGAGTGACGCACTGGAAGTCAAAAATATGTAGGAAGAATGGTGAGCACAATACTTTATATCTAGAACAGAGTATAGTTTTAAATATATTTATGTCTGGCAGTAGGTTTAATTAAATGGATACAAATTATTGTAAAATATTGGGTTGGATAAAAAGAAATCCATTATTTTTACGTGAACTTCAAGACTTTATTTAACATGTTTTGCATTGTCTGATTTAGGTCCAATATGCACCATTTTGTTCTATAATTTGTTGCCATTTTAATGATAGCTTCATTATGCCTCTCTCATAAAAGTCTGGGTCCTTATTAGCGAAAAACTCCAGCAATTGATTTTCACACTCTTTCCTTGATGCCAATTTCTTATCACTAAAAAAGTTTTGCAATGCAAGAAAAAGATGGTAATCGCTTGGTGCGAGGTCCGGACTGTATGGTGGATGCATCAAAACTTCCCAACCAAGCTCCTGGAGTTTCTGACGAGTCACTATAGAAGTGTGTGGCCTGGCGTTGTCCTGATGGAACACGACACCAGTCAAAAACTCCAGGAGCTTGGTTGGGAAGTTATGATGCATTGCAAATGGCAACAAATTATAGAACAAAATGGTGCATATTTGACTTAAATCGGACAATGCAAAACATGTTAAATAAAGTCTTGAAGTTCACGTAAAAATAATGGATTTCTTTTTCCCTAACCTAATATTTAATATTAATTATTTTATTTGATAAAACCTACTATAATACATAAACCGTACCGATAGTTGTTGATTACCAACAAAAGAGTAACAATTGTTAGCCGGTGCAGAATTTGAATAAGTTAGTGAAAATTATGCGTAAAAATACTATAATATTAGATTGGCAACTTAGTAAGTGCGGATTTTTATTAGAAAATCAGAGTAATTTAGTGGAACTAAATAACTTTATTGTGTAATGTATTGTCCATTTTGATCAATTATTTTTTGTCATCTTTCAAGAAGCATCATTATCCCACTATTATAGAAATTTTGGTTTTTATTAGTAGAAAACTAAATCAGATACAATTTGATACAATCATAATTATTGAAATGTTTACCATTCAAAAAGTTTTGTAAAGATCGAAACAAAAAGCAATCAGAAGGTGCAAGGTCAGGACTGAATGGGTAAATATGGCAAAATATCCTCACAAAGCTCCAATAATTTTGCGGAGTGGTCAAAGATATGTGATGGATAAATCACTATTTCGATTGGTCATTTTAGGGCCGCATTTCTTCGACTGTGTTGTTTAATTGTATTAGTTGTCCAATGTAGACATCAGAATTGATCTTTCGGTTGAGTGAAAAAAATGAGAGTAGACAATACCTTTTATAATCAACATATTTTACATTTTTTAATGAGAAAAATCGAGAATCAAATTTGACATTACTGTTTCTTTAAGGCTTCTTTACCATAAACAACTCATGTTTATTGCTTACCATAAACACTCAATTTTTTGTGAATTTAAGACGCCCTTTTATCTTTGAAGAAATAAAAAAGAAATTATGACAAACATTATCGAATTTTTCGTCAATCTTTCAACGTACGCCAAACGAAAACTACGCAATCGATCAAAAAACTCTTTCAGACTGATGGACATCTAAATTGCCTACTATCCATTAACAAAAGGTAAAGGTATTTGGACTACGTAAGCAAACCTAAAAATTAAATTAAAGCGATTGAAACCATCCAAGCTGTAAGTCCCACTAACTTTGTAGCCAATCTTATATTTTTACATATAAATATGTTAAATTTAATTTTTGATTATTTTATACCTATTTGAATATCATATTTATTGAAAATTAGATAACTTACAAAATGAATATGTTTTCAAATCAATCAAGAGGCCAATTTTACGATGGGAATAGAATTGTTAGGGCAACGCTATCTTATACCTTTTTTTGCTACTAAAAACTGTGAAATTGCTATCTACTTGCTGCACGATCAAGCAAATTACACATAAAACCATATGTTATAAATGCACAGTAAATAAGTAGCAACTTCACAGATTTTAGTACCAAGGAAAAAGGATGAGATAGCGTTGCCATAATTGTCCATTTTACCGCAGGATTGGCCCCTAAGTTTAATTAATTTAATCGAATATAAAACTATGATTAATGATCATTTCAACAGCAATTTTAATAGACAAGCTGTCCATAATTTTGATGTATGCATATTTAATTAAATTATACAAATGCTAATTAATATGCCGTTAGTGATAGTGTCGCGCCACTCAATCTAAATACATCATTTCAAGTCATTTGAAGCATAGAAGTTTATTATAGTATTACGTACTACCAGCTTTATATAACAAATACAAGTAGTAATTTTGAAATCCTTCAAAGCTTATCTAATGTATACATACATTATTATAAATAAATAGAGATATAAATATACAATACAAAATCAAGATCTATCTTTAGATGATTTGAAAATAAATAGGATCCGTTTTTATTGCAACCAGTTACTTATGTATCGTGGGCTTATTAGATTTAATTTTAGATACATAATTTCA